TCACGAGCACGAAACGAGCTCCCATGAACTCGCCGCCAATGACCTATACCGCGGTGCCTCGTAACACGGACGAGAGGGAAAATCTTCTTCGAGAGAAGGGATTCGCCATTCTCTCCTTTCGTAGTACACCTAGACACACTTATGACCCGGATAGTGAATATGGCAGTCGGGTAACATCCACGCCATCATCCCGAGCGAACATCTTCATTTGCCCGTCATCTGTCGCGTGTTGCTCGCGATCCACAAGTCCATCTGGAGACTTTTCCTCGCAGTTTCGTTCTCGAATTCGGGTATTCTCGATAACTCATCCATCGATCGTAATCGGCTGTGGCAAAGGGAGAGCGGGAATCGGTCACCTTGAAGAAAGCACTTGGCAAGTTTGAGGAATCCAGGTACTTTGACCCAATGGACGGAACCGGTGATTCGGTCTCTGTAGCATCTTCTGTAAGCTCGATTTCACGTGGCTCGTTCTCGTTGTACGTATCGGTGAAATGTCACCGGAGTTTATTGACGTTAAATTTATGTCCTCTTCGCTTTCACGATGAGAATGTGTTCTTCGAGCATGGATGAAGCTCCTCGCAGAAGGGTGAGTAATTAGCTTGATGATCGTGGCGATGTTGGGTCTTAAGGTGGTCTGTGGATATTTGAACTAGTATGGTTGCTTTCCAGCTGCCCGATTAGAATTTTATGACTTCTGTTAGGTAACTTTCTTCCTCGTTATTTTTTCCTGGTAATACACGTGCAATTAAATGGGTTATATGTATATGGCCATGAGTGGTCGTTTGAGCAGTTGGAGTATTAATAATAGTAATTTTTAGGGAGTACAGACTACAAAGGTATTGCAGAAGCAAGTAAACTCTGCTTTGACTGCGAGCAATATGTTTGTGGAAAATTAGCATCGATGAATAGGAATCAAATAATTATTGTTACTTCCCAGCATGCAATAGTGACTCGAAAAAAATTATTTTGTTTATTTATTTCTGCTCGAACTGAATTGGCTATTATAATAAATAGCAATTTAAAATTACTTTACTATTAATAGCAATCTAAAAATTATTTTATTTATCCAAAATTAATCGTACTAAATTAGCTACTACCTATACTTTATTGAAAGAGTATAGTTTCCTTTTAGGAACCGGTTATTTAACAAACGAAGTACGTATGGATTATCGATCAATTTAATATTAATATAAAAAGAATTAACTTCTTCGATTCCAATAAAAATATTATTTTATTTATTCTCCATTTGGATATTCCAACTTGACTACTATCTATATTAAATTAAAAAAGGTAGAATTTCCTTTTAAGAACCGATTATTTAACAAACGAAGTACGTATAGATTATCGATAAATTTAATATTAAAATAAAAAGAATTAATTTCTTCGATTCCAATAACAAAATTATTTTATTTATCCTCCATTAATCGTTCCAACTTGACTACTATCTACACTAAATTGAAAAAAATACAGTTTCCTTTCAAGAACCGATTATTTAACAAATAAGGTGTACATAAATGGCCGGTAGCATGAGTGCTGAAGTCTCTATCGCGAGATTAGATCCATAATCTACCGTTTCGATTACGCTCCACGTATTCCTTTTACGTTGAGCAAGTGGAAGCTGGAATTACAGAGGCGAATTAGAGTCGTGATCTCGTGTAAGCGATTAAATTAGTCGTTTTTCACGATTTTCTCGAGGGAAAGTGTATTGAAGCGACACTCGTCACCTTGAAAGTTGTCAAACCGCAAAATCATCTCGGATTTACGAGCACGTTCGCTTTCCTTTTAGATCCTACCAGTCTTCCTGTCTGCCTCGCCGGTACTCGCGTTAATTACACCTTACTACGGTTTCTTACTGGCGGTGATGCAACGTGTGTATTTTGGTACAGCTGATACACCAACTTTGACTCTCATTCACTCGCGTCAATGAAATTCTTTCGGCTATTTCAGTCGATTTTTTCCTCGCCTAACAGAGTTGTATAGCAAGCTCGTTACCCACATTAAGGCAACGCAGCTTGGGAACAGATGTTTATCTCGTTACTCAATAATGATTACACTGGCGTGAAAATGACGTTTATAGCGTCTTCTGCGCGTTATTACGCTAGCAAATGCATGTCGCGTTAACGTCTTAACCTTTACCAGTAATTGATTTAATAATCATTATTTATTTATAAAAGTCAATATTAATATTAATAGTTAAATACACTACGCTGCAATATCTAGGCTAACTCGACGTGAATTCTTCATGGTAAACCTCATAAGATGAATTAGACTCGCTATTATAGAAAAATTATATTTAACCTACTTTACTATGCACGAAGTTTGTATAAATTCTAAAAATTTGTATAATTTGATTGGGATTGAAATAGGTATACAGTGGCTAATTAGAATTGAATAATTGAATAATTACAGTGCACGGTTCCTCATAATCAAATCGTAGTGCAAGGGGTTAACGATTGCTGGTTAAATATTAAAAATCGAATATTTTCTTAGGGTTAATTTCGTGAATTAATTTACTTTAGTTCCAATTAACGAATTTTTATTTTATTTCTTAACACAGTTGAATATTAAAAATTAGGGTTGATAATTGGTATTAAAATATTTTCATTTTTCACGTGACTAATTTCTCAGATTCGAATATTTTTTTAGGATTAATTTCGTGAATTAATTTACTTTAATTCCAATTAACGAATTTTTATTTCATTTCTCGACCCAGCTAAATATTAAAAATTAGGGTTGATAATTGGTATTAAAATATTTTCATTTTACACGTGACTAATTTCTCAGATTCGAATATTTTCTTAGGGTTAATTTCGTGAATTAATTTACTTCAGTTCCAATTAACGAATTTTTATTTTATTTCTCGACCCAGTTCTCTTTCACCAAATTTCCAAATTTCTTCTTCCTATTTGATAAAATCAAAGAAATGTTTGGAAAATTTTTGTAATAATTAATTTCAATATCACGAAAACAGCTATTTTATTCCTCGAAATAAAATCTACATCCATACAAAGTCCAATTATTTCCACGCATATTTTCCATAATAAATAAAAATTCCAAAACTTCCATCATGTAGGAATAGCAATCGTTTGAAGTCAGCAATTAGAAGGGCATAAATACATCAGTGAGTCACTGTGTGATGTTCGTAGACTCTCTTGTACGTCTCTCATCAATTACTTTGCAAATACTCGTCGTACATTTGAGACAACAACGCGGTAAATCACAGGTAAATATCTCGAAACGAACGATTTTAATCTAACTTCTATTTGTTTAGGAGAAAGGTACTCGGCGATTTTCGTGTTTTATTATACTCCGCTGAGAGAGTAGAAAGGCACAGTTGGCCCGTTTAGAATAAACGTTTGATCAGGATCTTAGTTCAAAAAGACATTACCAGGGCCATAAAGTCGAGCGAGAAACAGCATGCCGGAGTGGTATCGATAGGAAAGTGACGATAACCATGGTAGTCACGATATCACCAAGTATGGTTGCAGTCTCGAGTCGAACCGTTCTCTCCTTCGTCGACTTTCGTGGATCTAATTTAATTAAAAACACCGTTATGAGTATTTTATCGAATCGTGCACCGTACCATGCTCTTTCCCCGATAAATGTCAAAGCATATCGCCTAATCGCCTGCTCGCGAACCTATATTCGAGCTAGAACCCAGACGCGGTTTCACTTTTGAGCAAAAACAATTCCAATCTTCGTTTCCTATACTTATTTTCCTTCTTTCGAAACAGTTAGATTTTTATCGAAATAAATCGTTATTAAGAAATCGCCGATTTTATTACAGTGCTATTTGTCGAAAAATGAAATCGTGATTGCGATTTTTATATATTCGTTTTCTTCGATATTTTTGCAACATTTTATTATTCCTGGATTTAGAATTTTATTTACACATTTATGATTTTTTTTTTCTTTTTTGAGACTGTTTTGGATTCGTATTGGAATAGATTGTTATCAAGATCTTGTCAATTTTACTACAGTGGTATTTATTAAAAATAATTCGAAATCGCGTTTTTGTGTGATATATACACGTTTTTAAAAATTTCTTTTGATTCGTATTGAGGTAAAGAATAGGTCACGGATTTTATTATTGTGGCATTTATTATAGCATAAATCGTGACGGATTTTATATTTACTTTTTCGAAACTTCTTTAGCTCGGGCTCAGAATGGTAATTCGTCATTAACTTTATTATAGAGATGAACGTACAAATTTTGATTTATCGGAACTTTTTTAAACTCGTTTTAAAATAATTATTAAGGAGTCGTCGATTTTATTATAGTGATACGAACATAAAAATTCAAATCTTTCGCTTCCATTTTATTTTTTAAATTCCTGTCAGAATAATAATTAAAAGGTTAATCAATTATATTACAGTAGCATAATATTAATATTTCATTTTTTTATTCATTGTCATAGATCTTCAAATAAATCTCATAAATTCTTACCAAAAAATATAATTGAAGGGTTAACCAATTTTATTAAATTATTTTATCATAGTAGTATGATATTGTAATAACAATTGTATCACGTTTTCTTCTCCGTGTTCATTTTCTTAGATCCCCAAATAAATCTCTTTCAAATTCCCAACAATAGCAGCAAAGAATAACCAAAATGATCAATTTTATTCCAAAACTACTTACCAACTCAAAATTCCCAAGCTCAACTTTCTCCGTTTACTTTCCTCAAAAAGCCTTCTCGCATTCTTATGAAAATAAATAATCGAGCTGACATGGACATTATCACGATACTCATCGAGTCAGGGATTAAAATCGCTTTTTGATATCACCGTTGAAAATAAATTACGCGACCTGTCTCGTAAATCACCTCCCGTCCAAATACCGTACCATATCGGTTGTGTAACTATTATCGAATTCGCATAGCCCAGAGCAAAATGGTTACGCGCGATCGCGATAACCGGGTCAACGTGAACTTCGTTGAGAAATCGGTTGACGAAGGTCGCCATTCCTGTACACGCATCGGAATCTCCTTTCTTTTCAGGAATGGCGAACGTGGCGCCCTGGCTGCTGTCCATGTGCCTGCTCAGCCTCCAGGAGATCGCGGTCCAGCCTGCGAGCAACGCGCTTTCACGCGATCTTGAAACGACCGGTCAGAGAAGCGTGACATCAGGCTTTCGCTCGGTAAAACCATTTCCTTCTGATGTAATTTAATCGCATGGAATTATCTTTCATGGCCCATTGGTGTAACTGTGAACGAGAAATGGTTGACGGTCGAATAGATTCAGAGAGAGAGATGCAATGATGCGGGATGATCGATTTCAAAATTGCGCAGAGATGTGTATTTTGAATTGTATTTTTGGAAGATTTGGATATTTCGTTTGGTGAGTGAGAGAGGTTGGTTGATTGAGTTATCCCTTTGCGGACGGAGCAGTTTTGAGTGAACCGTACCGTGAGGCCCAGTCGCTGTCGCTATAGTCATTCAAAACTACCAGCGCTCATTTCTACTTGAACGCGATTTTTGTTCATAGCGATGCTGACAATAAGGACATAAAACTTAACATTTCACGTCCACCACTTAACTTAGAACGCGCGGTCCTAGGGCCGCACGTCCCAAATCCACCACTTAACTTAGAACGCGTGGTCCTAGGGCCGCGCGTCCCAAGTCCACCACTTAACTTAGAACACGCGACCCTAGGGCCGCGCGTCCCAAGTCCACGACTTAACTTAGCACGCGTGGTCCTAGTACCACGCGTCCCAATTCCACCACTTAACTTAGAACGCGTGGTCCTAGGGCCGCGCGTCCGAAGTCCACCACATAACTTAGAACGCGCGATTCTAGAGCCGCGCATCCCAAGACCACCACTTAACTTAGCACGCGCGGTCCTAGGGCTACACGTCCCATATCTACCACTTAACTTAAAACGCGCGGTCCTAGTACCACGCGTCCCAATTCCACCACTTAACTTAGAACGCGTGGTCCTAGGGCTGCGCGTCCCAAGTCCACCACTTAACTTAGAACACGCGGTCCTAGAACCGCAATAGCGAGCACATATATGTTTTTCTCGACCATAGCAACGCATTTACGTCGGACACATTTATTAGTCCCTCGGCCCTATCAGTTGTTTTCTCCGAACGCATATACGCGGCAGTCGTCCGCAAAGGGATTGACAATGAATAAACGTGAACAGTGTGATTCCTGCGTTGTGGGAGCACCATCTAATCATAATATCCATAGTTGTAAAATTAGATATATGCTATAAAAATAGTATAATAATAATAACACGATGGTACTAACAGTCCTAATGACAAGGAATATTGGTGGAGGATACTAACACGGTACATGGAATGTCATGGGAAGAATGGCTAAACGAATGGAGCTGATGGTATTGCGAAGCATAGCATAATCGACATAAAAAATCCTAGTCTTTAAGGAATTACAAAACCTTAATATCGGGCCACGACGAGCTTCCTGGCCACATAAACTGCGACTCGCCTAAAGTCGAAGAGAACTCGCTGGACAAATTACCCACAACCCCGGAGTACAATAATCATCTGTATGGTTCAACGCCCGATTCGAGCGAGTACTTCGCAAGACCCTTCGAGAAAACGGTCAACGCGAGATTACCCGGAAGAAACTTCAACGTACTCAGGTCAGATGCTCAGTCTGTGAATCAGCTAGAGTCTCACGGGTTTAATTACGATCCTGGTCGAGGACACGTGGAGGATGATTACGTTGGACCCGCCATGGAACTGGTGAGTTTGCTAGACTAAAGAATCGATAATGATCTACAATTTTTTAATCTTGAATTGAATCTTGAATTTAATCTTTAATTTTGGAATTTCGAAGAATACATAGTAGTTTATAATAATACTACTTCTGGAATCATTGCACAGGTCTACGCGTGGTCCACCATCGACTATGATTACGACAGCATAGAGGCTCGAGACTCGGCTATCTTCGATGGAGATTTCATCGCGGAAAACAATCTACCTCTGGGTCTAGAGATCTGGAGAGACAAGGTTTTCATCACTCTGCCAAAGTGGAAGGACGGTATTCCAGCCACCCTGGCTACTGTACCCAAACGCTCGAAGACGAAGAGCCCAAAGTTGAGGCCCTATCCTGATTGGGGATGGCATCGAACAGGTGAATACTTCCCTATTCCCTTGCTTGATGTGTTGCCTGGTGAAATAAAATTCGTAATCTCCGATTGATAATTCAGTTGCTTTCGAAGCTTCTGAAATCCCTACTTGCAGCGTCTCAGCTTTTAACTCCCTGGAGAAACAAGGTCAATACCCTTTTCGCTTAACAAGTATGTTCATAATCAAGTTAGAAGAATTAAATATTCTTCAGGCAACTGCGAAGGACTGACCTCGGTCTTCAGAATCCACGTAGACGAGTGCGACCGTCTATGGGTCCTGGACTCCGGCAAAGTAGACATATCGAAAGGGGGCAAGACAGCGTGTCCTCCAGCGATCTTCATCTTCGACTTAACAACCGACAACCTGATCAGGAAGTACATCATACCCGATGACCAAGTGAAGGAGGACTCCTTATACGCGAACATCGTGGTGGACATCAGAAACGAGGACTGTAGCTCAGCAGTAGCCTACGCATCCGACGTGTTTCGTTACGGTCTGCTGGTGTACGACTTCTTCAAAGACAGCTCCTTCAGAATCCAACACCACTTCTTCTTCCCTGACCCTCTGGCCTCCAAATACGAGCTCCATGGTCTGAGATTCCAATGGACCGACGGAATCTTCGGGATCGCCTTGAGTCCATTGGACATCCACGACGACAGGACCCTGTTCTTCCATCCCATGTCCAGCTTCCGCGAATTCGCTGTCTCCACGTCGATTCTCAGCGACAAGAAGACAGCGGATGATAACACCGACTACTTCATGCCCATCGGGAGACCCAGGGCCAAAGACTATGGCCATTCCTCAGGGTCTGTGATAGATAGGAACGGAGTGATGTTCTTCAACATGGTGACCAGGGATTCTGTCTGGTGTTGGGACACCAGGAAGGAGTACATCCCGCAGAATCTCGGGGTTATAGGGACTAGCAACTTGTCCTTAGTCTTTCCAAACGACATCAAGGTCGATCACGAGTACGATCAGAACGTCTGGCTGATCTCGAACAAGCTGGCCATGTACCTTTATGGCAGCATCGACAGCAGCAAGATCAACTACAGAGTCTTCAAGGCCAATGCCAGGGAAGCTGTTAAGGACACCGTCTGCGACCCTAATTACGCGGTGCCTGGCTCAGAACACGGCTACGACGAGATCTGCTGAGGGAGATGACAGACCTTGAGCATGATGGGGTGAAGTTTAGTCGAAATATTTTTTAATCGAGGTTTTCTAACCCTTTGCACTGGAACGACGAGTCTAACTCGTTATGGGTCCTTCGTGTCAAGTCTCGCGATTGTTAGCTATGCTAATCACGCGACCATTATTGTATTTTATTGATTTCAACGTGCACAAAATTCGAAGAATTTCTATAATTTTTATCTAAGTTTATTTTTGTTAGAATAAGTATGCAGTGGTTAACCAAAATTTGATTCTACTTGGATGCATACTTTTTCGTAATTAAATCGCAGTGCAAAGGGTTAATGGCGGACGGTGGAAAATGGCGGAGGGAAGTTCGTTTCCGTTATCTCGGGAAGAGGAATGTGAATAGATATTGTAACATTGAGATTAGAGGAGAAACTACCTCAAATTCGTCTTCCTCGGAGGTAACGGAGAGATTTCGTACGTTTAAGCACAGTATGGGGAAAACTTTTATTTTAGTCGACGAATCACGTGATTCGATTAGCTTCGTCGCGTTTTGCGCTTTGAATCTACAGGGTGGTCGTTTTATCTGGAATTATCTGATGTAAATATTTCGAAAAATATAGCTGACATAGAAAAATGTTTCGGACAAATATGGTGGATGTCAAGGTGATATCACGGCGATGTTTATTCGACTCTGAGTGTCCTTGAGAAACATTGTGAAGATCGTATTTAAATTTTTAGACAGGAAGCTGCGTATTTTTAATTAAAAACTGTAAATATTGCTCAACAATGAAGACACATTGTTCTTTGATATGGTGCACCATTTTCAATAACCCTGAGAGTCACGCTGTATTTTTCTTTTCGTTGGCAGCGCTAATGCATAAATGGCGCTAAATTCAAATCTTATGTGAATCTTTCTTTAATTGTTTTGTAATATTTTTTCAATAATGTTTATATATTCGTGTCATGGGAAAAATTACACTTCTCCGTACCGTGAGCATATGTCTAGATATTTGCATACTTTCAGGCGAAACAGACACGCTGTGTAAATCTATAGAGACAATGAACAAAATGTCGAGACTGTGCAACGAGGGAAAGTAAACTGATAAATAAATGTACCATTAGAAATTTTATGGGAAATTCGCATTGTATGAAAAGAAGTATTCTCCCATGGTTCTACGTTAGGTGAGATGTATATTGCAGGTGTTGATCGCCCGTGGTAATATGGATCAAGTCGTAAAGAAAGGCAGAGAGTGAAATCGATGAAATTCTTCCCATATATGTTGTAAAATTTTCTGCATTGTACACTGTGCTCATATGTGTGTAATATATTTACGTAATAAACGCGACTTTGCTAATTAACCGCGTGATTCATTACTTTACGCATGACCCCTGGCGTTATGCAACCCGCTTTCCACTTGAGAGTCAACGGTTTCTCAACTAGGCGGCGATTCCCCAAGAAGTTTACACTTAACAAATAAACATTTACATGGCATTAGTTTAATCGTGTTTCCACGGTAGTCTCGAAGCTTATTTTATAATTTAAAAATAAATAGATAAAGGAATCGGAATTAAAAATAAAACTTTCAAAACAGGCGACATTATGTATCTAAATAATTAATATGTGAACTTTTGTAGCTGCATTGCAAAGCTGAAGTTTCTAGTAACATTGTTATGTAGTTTTCGTGCATAATTTGACGTTAATTTGTTAGATATTGATAATTATTTGAAGGCGTGCGTTGTTTAATAAGAACGACGAACGTGATTGTTCGTTAAAATATTTAATTATGGACAAAGTAAGAAGCAGAATGTGATAAAAAATAATATGAGAAGATGCGCTTTTATAACGAGTGCACGAAAGTTACAAAATAATTGCATTGAAAACAGTAATTAACGATAAAACATTAGTATATTTGGAACATTGCACGAAATATTCGAATTCTTAAGTAAAGACATTCAAACTCTCGGACAATACTTTTGTTGCTTCGAAGACAAATTTTGGGCCAATTTTACGATTTTGTATCAGGAGAACATGACTTGAGAAGAGGTCTATAGTCGAGACAGTTCCAAGAAATGACGTCATTTCCAAGAATTTTCGGAAAATACTTTTGAAGCCTCGCCGTAAAATTTTCGACCGATTTTGTAACTTTGTATTAAGGTAACATAATATGATAGGAGGTTGCTCACTGACCAATTCCAAGAAATGACATCATTTCCAAGAATTCCTGGATAATACTTTCCCTGTTTTGCAGTAGATTTTTATTATTTTACTTACCTTATACTTACCTTATAGTTATCTTACTTACCGTCCTTACATACCTTCCCTTACTTGCATTCCTTTCTTTGCTTACAAGGCGAATGCAAGTCTTTCGGATCACCGATTTAGTTGAAACTTTGCAGGTTTGTAGATATCGTCATGCAGTTTAAGAAAATATATCATTGTAGCGACAAATACTCAACAGCTTTTGAGATATTAACGATTAAAGTTTTATTACTTCAAAAATTATATATTTATTTTCAGTGGTTTTTAGTGGGAGTTGTAGACTAACGGTGATAGTCAAGAATTTCTATACTCAAGGACCAGCGTTCGATTCCGGTTCATAATTTAGTATTTTCTTTTCTATCTTTTTTTTATTTTGCATTCATTTTTTGCCTATGAAAACATTGTAAATAAAAAATTGTAAATAAAATTTCTTAATAAAAAAATGTATTTTTTACTCTTCCTTAGACCAGTATATATTTATTACTTAATAAGAATATTATGCAAGAAAAACACATTTTCAGAGCAATCTTATTTACTAGTAACTAATTATTAAATTAAACATCCTATAAGAATGTTGCCTATAATTCCAACTTTGCTGCGCAGCTATAAATGTTCATGAATTAATTACAAAAACTTGGCAATTTATTAATTTTCTACTGTCGAAATGATTTCTAGTATCCAGTTCGAATAAAAATTTTACCGCCTGCGATCAGCGCCATCTATGATTTTGGAATAGTTTCTCAAATAGTTTACTAACTCTGGTTACGTGCACCTAATATATTTTTATTTATTTTAATAAATAAAATCATAAAGTTTTCTACATTCTTTAATAAATTCAGCCGAAGCAGCGGTTTTAATTAGACAATCAGCATTCATTTCTTTATCTGATAGACGACAAATGTGCGAAGGTACGCCTTTATAACGCAATTATAAAATTTCATAAATTAATCACAGAAATTGAGTGATTTGTTAATTTTTCTCCAAATGAACAGGAGAGCGCATAGAAAATGAGAAAAAATTGTAAACAAACGTCGGAAGCATTGTTGTGTCCATGCAGATATACCTACATCACGCAAAAGAAAGTAAGTCTTTGTCTTAATATAAGCTTCAGTGTTAATTAAATAGTGTAAGTTATGAGCCATTGTTTTTCCACCTTTTATTAGTGATCGCAGAGCTTGGTTGTGAAAAGGAAATATTCTGTTGAAATAAACAGGCACATGCAATGGTAGAAAAATATTGGACTCGTGGAATATCACCAACATAGAGCCATGAGATGTAGAAGAATTATATTTTATAGCGAGAAAAAATTGAAGCAGCAATACGAATATGTAAGTTATGATATGTCTATTGGATTCTAGGTCAGCTAACCATATGACATACAAGATAGAAATCTTTGATGGTCAAATAAAGATTCAGAAAATGGAGATGGCTTAGGCAGATAAAAGAATCAAACTAATTTAAGTGATGGCCTCTTATAACAACTAGATATAGAGAATACAGTGAAATTGAAAGGTATGTTGTATTCATGATCTAAATGAATCAGTGAGTCAAAAATTAATATCAGTAGTCAAAGTTATTGATAATAGCTAACATATTAAATTTCAGAATGATGGAGCTAAGGTATATAAAGAAAAGGGAGAAGTTCGAATGAAGGCAGTGAGAAGAGGAAACACATATTATGCGGTATCAAGAAACAGAAAGGAGGCAGCATATGTATCAACAGAGAAGTATTTGTGACATTGACATGCAAATATGAGGATTATTGAAGAAATGGAGAATGTACAAGTGGTAATAGTTATGAAAGGTAAAGATAAATTGAATATATAGAGTAAATATTGCATTAAAACTAAAACGTGTAGAAATATCTATAGGAATTTGCAAACTATAAAAGCTGCAGTAACAATGGGTTGTGGCACATGGAATTGATTGGGCCAATAAAGACAACGTTAAATGGAGGTAAAAGGTACGTCTTTCCTGCTGATGATTATTAGAAAAAAGAACCATTTGGTTGACTGATTTATAAATGACTAAAGATTTAATATGAAATATTATCGACAAACGACTTTTTTTATTATAGACTTACAAATATGAGTAATATATATATGCAAGAGCCAGCCACTAATGGTAAAGTAATAAGTATTAGTTAATTTCATACAAGATTACAAATTTGCAGAATAAACATACAATCTTTGGTAAAGTTACTGGAGAAGCTATATATTACATGCTTAAACTTGAAGAAGCACTTGTTGGTTTACAAGAATGTTTACAAGAAAATATAAAAACTATAATATTGAACAATCCATTTTCTAATATTATACCAAGAATAATAGTACAGGAAAGTGAAGAAGTAAAGGACAGTTAAAATACTAAAACAGCAGCAGTAAAGTAAGAATCATATATGTTTGCAGAATTTAGCCCTGATAGTATTGTTCTTTGCAATGAAAAATTTTGTTACAGAGGTTTTAATCTTTTATCATTTGGTGGAGAAGCAAAGGAAGATGAAGAAGAATCTGTGATATTAAATAAAAAGTTTA